AAACGCACGCTTTTGTCATGTATGACGTTTTTTTTACTATATAATTTAGACGTACAAATACATGGTCACTCCCTCTAAACGCACACTCCGTCCGCGGAACATGCTGACAAGTATAGCTTGACCACAAGAGGAAATTTTCCCTGCAGCCTACACAGCTTGCATAAGACAAGTTTAGAAAACTGGATATTTGGTGAGACTGCCCCTCTCGCCGAACAAAGAAAGTGACAGACTTCGTTTTCACACCCAACTTTCCACAGACACATATGTCTAGGACTGGTCGCTGAAATGTGGGGGGACTGAAATGTGTTTTGATTGGTCACTGGAAATTCATCTTTGAGAAAGGTTTCTGATTTTCATGTCATGTTTGTTAGACCTGGCCTATGATTCGCGACACGTGTGAATGCTGTAAAGCACTAGATAGGCCTCTATAGGATTAAAGATTTGTCGAGTAAGCCTCACAGCTTCTCTCGATAAACATATAACAAACTTGTTCAATGAATCACAATCTGAGAAATGTTTCTCAGAATGTAAAGATCTATGATTCTGATGTCGTACATGAATTTACGGTCGGGGCTGGTCTCTTGGAAAGCCACATGGCTGCGGCGTCGTCTCTATAACTAGCACCAGCAGTTTCCTCTTAGGCTATCTGTTCCCGACATTTTATGTTGCCTGTCATTACATTGAGTCTGTCTCTCTGCCCCTCCCCCAAACCCATTAAACATCTTTGTATTCTTAACCGCAATCGGGGAATCCTTTACAAAACAGTCACGTGTCTTCACGTTATTGGCCAAAGTGACCCCACCCCCAAGGGAGGTCTCTAGAATATCAATGCAATGAGATGACTGCATCCCTTCCTCCCTTTGCACAGGTTTTTGTAAACGCATGCTCCGTATAAACACACGCTATAGAGCCCTCCTGAGCACTGTGCATTTAGGCGGAGACTACTGTATCTTAAAAATTTCTTCCAAATTAGCGCTTGTACAGGTGCTTGTTTCTTTGGTGTTTCTATGCTTAGTGGACAATTGAAGTCATTCTTGCTTCTTATTTCTTTTACTTTTGTCTATTTTTGCTTGTTATATTATAATTGTGTTGATTTGATTTCTTTCACTTAATGTTGCCTTGCTAAAATATTTTCAGCGTAAATAGTTGTGCCTTGTTATCCCTCATACTCATATTGATGCAGGTGGCCTTTGGGCTCTTGAGTGCGGTTAGCTTCTTCTAGGTTCTGATGGTTACCTGGAGAAATTTATCTTTGTAAGTTACAACCTTTCATTTCTGGAATGGTATTTCTATTTCAGGATGGACGCTACCCTCAAAGAATTGACCGGCCTGGTGAAGGAAGTGAATCCAGACGCCCGTAGGAAAGGGACCTTCTTTGACTTTGCCATCGTGTTTCCTGACAGCCGCTCGCCTACTTTCCGGCTACGAGAGATTGGCACAACGTGTGCTGGACGAAAGTCAAATGACGATACGGTGACCCTCGCTCAGAAGAAGTTTACGATTGGGGACTACCTGGATATCGCTATTTGTCCGCCGAGACAAGGAGGTGGCCCGCCCATGGGCCGGGGGAGGCGTCCATTTTGAATGTGGGTCGTGTTCAATTGATACAAATTATGTCATTGAGGATGCTTGTGGTATTGTGAGTTTGATGTTTGTGTAGTTGTGTGAATGAGAATATAAAGGAGTGAGAAATATGTTTGCCCTTGGTGGTCCCACTTTAACTTAAATTGTGTGTAGTCTAATCTGTATTGCTCGCCTATAGATACAAGAGGGTTCATCAGTGGTGTAGGGTGCCTCTTTTCTTAACATTTTCTGCATTCTTGATATCTCTGATATTCTTGTGTGTTTTAAAAGTTCGTTTACTTTGAGCTGTGAAGTTTTTGTCTCACAGGGTTTATGGATTTTTTGGTGGAATTCTGAACTGGCTGTTTGGGCAACTTGATAATTTGGGTGTAAATATCATTTTGACATGAAATGCGTAAAAGGGTAATGCTTTCATCACCTTCCCTTGAAGAATGGGTCTGGTCCATATAATGAATGGGCATACAGCTTTGTGGGGAAGAAAAAATATAAATCGATGGTGTTACTTTGTCCTGGTTTACGAGTACAGATTGTTGTAAGGATATATTTTCTTTAATTATAAATAGTAGGTAACTATATTTTATGATTCTCTCAGTATTGGGCAAAAATTTTAAAAGGCATGAGTACAGGTTATGTAGTTTATTGTGGAAAGAAAATAGAAGTGAATGTACAAATGCAACATGGCATGTAGTGGAAGAGTGAAAGTGGCTTCTGTGGTGATGAATTTAGCTAAAACTAAAATCGTCATATGTTGAATGGTTGAAAAGTATGTGTGTAATTGTTCATGCTACACTGTATATTTTCATTAAAATCAGAACCTTGGTGTTAATTTTCCTTTTTTTTGTTGTTGATTCTATTGGTGTAGTCTTTGTGATTTAAAAGATTGACAATGTGAGTGACATGTTTGGTGCAAATTTTTTTGGTGTTTTTTTTGTAACAAAGTATGAGGATTAAAAGAACAGAATAACTTAAGCCTCTCACAATTAGTGGACACAAGAGCTGGGGTATGAAAACCTTTGGAAGTTCAAAAGGGTGACCTTATTTAGGCTGTACAGTCAAACTTTGTTATAGGCCTACTAACTTATACTGCCTTATAGCCTAGCTTCTGACCAGACAGTAATTGTCAAAATGAATGTAAAGTTAAGCTGGAGGTGTACATGTTCTTGGTGGCCATTCATTTTTCCCTGTGATTGGCAATCACACAAGACAGATCTAGATGAGTGAACACTGGCCACAGTTTGTCTCTAGTCTCTACCAGTCTACCATTAGTAAAGATGGCAAACCGTGCCATCCCATGATACTGCCACCCCAGCTGTACCACCAACTTCATGCTCGTTCCTCCATATTCCGTGACAAGCAGGTAGTATAACGAGGTTTGACTGTATGTTACACAAGTGTGAAGTAGGTAATCCCTTACAACCATGTACTCGAAAAATAACCTCTCAACCCAGGAGTCGAACTCATGTTTTCTATGTGCAACAGAGAAGGGTGTACTGGTGCTTGTCAATGGGTTTGGGATTTGGACAGAGGGGTGAAGAGATATAGAGAGAGGGGAGGGGGTGGTATTTAAGTCTTGTTCTCAAAATCTAACGTTAATGTTTGGTCGGAGGCTCTCGTGGCCCAGAGGCTAAGGTGTTCGCCTCTCAGTCTCATTCAATAGCTCGCGAGTTCGAGTCCGTCTCTAAAATTTTCTTCTTTCCCATCCTTTCCTGCTCTCTAACAATGTTCTGTCGTCTGTTTTCGTCTCAACTTTCTTCCCTTACCCCTTCGCCTCCTTTGCTCCCTCCTTTGGGCTCCTGATTCTTTCTGCAGCCTTTCTACTGCTACTCCTTGGCTCCTTCTTATCTTACTGCTGTCTTTCAGCCACACCCCTGATCCTAGGGTTGGTAAGATCTACACCTAGCCTTCTCGGACAAGGGCGAAAAATCTCGGAGGTGGCATGTGCAAATAGTGCCTTAAACTTAAAGTACCTTGGTGGTTCAAAATCGATTAGAGTAGGCTTCGGCCGCTCCCTGGGCAAAATTCAAAATTTCCTACCAACTGAAAATATTTGATGTGTCCTGCGCTCTCATAATACTCGCATGACTTTTCGGAAGTTAACAAGGTGAAGAAGCACAAAGGATCAGTTATTTTCAGAGTAAATTAGAGCATCTCTGTCTGTCTGCTGGGATATTGTTTCCCATTCTGACTAGGTTGTCTCATAGTGTCATAGTACGCATGGGTTTAACTCGGTTTAACGTCCCTTTCAACCCTGTAAGTGTAAGATTGTTGAAGAGGCAGAACCTCCTAATTCAACATCCATTTCAAAAGTGGACAGCAAAGGTAGCGGAGAGCAAGTTACAAAAGTATTAATGCCCTCTATGACTAGGAGGAGTAGTACTAGGAGATTTCTGTATGATAACACTGGAACTGAAGGCACGCTGAAGTCCAAAACGTTTGAAAAAGGCTGTACTATTTATATTTATTATTATTTATAAAAAAATACAATCCAAACTTTGGTCCCAACGTCTGTGGTAGTATTACTAAGTAGTATAGCAGCTGTTAAATGTTTCGCTGTCTCACACAGGAGACCTGAGTTCAATTCCTGAGTGGGGAGAAATTTTTATAGAGTTTCTTGATCTTTCTGCTTGGATGTTGTCTCTCGTAGCCTGGGGTGGCCCTGGCATGCTGGGTCAGAAGCCTGCCTCCTAAATTAAAAGATCTAAATTGTGTCCATGGGGGTGTAAAAACATTTACAACCACGCCAGACTGGGAAGCTAATCGTACCATCTCTAGTTCTATAGAATGGATGAGGATGCACAACATAGTTTTGGTCTATCGAAATGTTTGGTCGTCTCACGTATTTACCAGCACACATTGCAGCCCAGATTTCATATAGTACAATAACACTAATAATAGTAATACAGCCTGTACAAAGTGCAATGATAACTTTCAATGCGTGAGAATGCCCAAGAAAGACAGATCGAAGGAGTAAGGAAATCCTTACAATAACAAGTACAAGATCCCACTACATGTGTAGCAGCAGACAGACGCCCATTTTTTCCTGTGGGATTTCCTGTAAAGTATCTGTAGGGCCTAACTGTATGTAACAATGGTCATGGTGAGTCTGAAAATGAGGAAGTTTGGTATATGTAAATTAATAGGAAAGTAAATCTTTATATTATATTTGTGAAAGTCCATCACTTTGGCCGTCTAAAACTTCTGAACCACTTAACGTTCGAATTTCACAAAATTAATGGTGGTTCAGAATCATTTAAAGGGTACACAGTTTTATTGAGGAGCCTGAAGTCACTGCAGTTTAATTGTCAGTTTTTCTTTAATTTGCGTTTAGTTCTAGATCTATTCTTGGAAAAGCCCGTCTTCTAAAACGCCCTTGTAAACAAGTGAGGTTTCTGTTCATTTGCCATGTGCACTGGTTCCACATCTTTGAAATTCTGGAGTGTACAACCACGAAAACGGAATAGAAGAATCAATCTATGCATCTATTATAATGCAGCTTGGAAACACTTGGTGCCACTTTTCACATAAAACTACTTCAGCTGCACCGTTGAAAGTTGGCAAGTACCTGCAAAAAGATAGATAGGTCCCCATGACGGAGCCCGATTTTTGATTTATTCATTTCCTGAATTTAGAAAAACTATATTTGACAAAAAGTTCCCGTCCTTCTTTGGCTTTTGTGATTATTCCACTGAGAAACGAAACAAATCTGCGTAGCTGTCCTTCACAGCGGAAGTTCCGGAAGTGATATTTCGAGAAGCGCATTTTGTTTTGAGAGTATAGATCTAGACTTTCTAAATTTTTAGATCTCTCTCAAGTTTATTGCTCCATCCCAGTAGAGTGTAAAAATATAGAAGGCCAATGACTTTCAGTTGATGTTAATGTACCGATCATTCCTTTCATGGAAAGGGGGCCCAGCTAGTTAGCAAATAAGTAAGCACAGTAAATATGGTACACGTGTTAAGCAAATGAGCAAGCAAGTATGATTAGTAATAAATGAGCAAGTGAGTATGGTTAGTAATAAATGAGCAAGTGAGTATGATAAGTATGGTAGGTAAAAAAAAGTAATTATAAGCAAGTATGAAAAGATAAAAGTTAAGCAAATACTCAAATACTGTAATAATAATGCTGGAATTATGGATAGTAAGCAAATAAATAAGTACATAAACTTTGGTGAGTATGTACATTGTAGTAAGAAAATAGACAAGAACGTAAGGGAAATAAGTTAATAAGCTAGTAATCATTGAAACTATAAGTAGGCAAGTAAATATGGATGGTATGCTAAGTAAGATAGCAAGTTATTATGGAAAGTAATTAATTAAAGTAGCAAGTAAGCATCGTACGAATGGTAAGCTGACCCTGTGCACACCTAGAGAGTATGGGAAATGTAGGAAGTATGAAATGAAATAAACAAGTAGGCCTAGTTATGTGAAATATGGAAAACAATTGGATAAGAGAGTAAGCATTGTAAGGATGGTAAGACTTACGTAATGTACAGGGCGATCCAAAAAACAACCGTACAACTTTTTTGGTTACATGTAATATTTTCCTCCACACTGAAGTTTTGCGTTTCAGATTTGTACATGTACTCAACTTTTGAATGTCAAAAGGAATTTGTGTGATATTCATATTAAATAAACTAAATAGTTTTTGCTCTACAGCGAGTAAAAAAAAACCCAACCCATTTTCAGCCATGTCCCAATTTTGTAGCATGACGCACTAGTTCGCATAAGGCCTACCACGAAAAATCCAAACGATTGCGCCATATTGCAAACTACAGTAGTCTAACAGGCCAACAGAAGTTTGCAGATAGTTTTTCTAAAGTTTCCTTTGCCTGCTGAGACCATGGTTAAGATTAGTAAAGAGCAGAGAGCTTGTTTTGGACATTTCCTCACCACCAACTCATTTCGTAAGTTTGGCACAAGATCCAAAAATGAAGTGCCCTTACGGCCTTCTTTCTCTAAGGTCAAGGGTGGAATTCCAGAATAAAAAAACAAATTAAAAATGTAACACTGTAGGAGAAAAGAAATATTGTTTAAAGGTTACAAGGGTGGAAAGATTAGATTTTAAAAATAAAAGGAAAAGGGAAAAAAAACTTATCATTTCATGACTTTCCTTACAAGATCTTTTAAATTTGTGCATTTTGCATGAAGGTAGTTTTTGTAAAAGCCATTTCCGTTTTCGAAAATACGTTTCTTCTTTGTGAATTTTATGTCAAACAAATTCGTTTTGAATGAATTATACTTGTTCCAAATTGTACACATTTAGAAAAAAAGGTGTTCAGTTTTTTTTTTTGGGGGGGGGGGATCACCCTGTACATTACATAAGCAAGAAAGTGGAAACTATGGTAAGTAAATAAACAAAAACGTATGGAAAATGTGGTAAGTACGAAAGGAAATCAGCTAATGATTATGTTAAATAGGATAACCAAATGAATAAAGAAGTAAGCACCGTAATTGTGGTATGAGGTAAGTAATGTACAGAAGAAAGAAAGTGGCAAATATGGTCAGCAAATGGAAAGAAAAAATATGGAAAGAATATCAGGTAGATAAGTATTCATTAATGCAAATTATATCATTTTTATTTTCATGTGACTAATTTGACGGTCTGATTCCCGAGATCAAACTCTGAAATACATCTTAAAATTATTAGACAGTATCCAGGATCTTACTTTCTTTGAGTCACAAACTTACTGTGTACTTAAAAAAAAAATTTTTTTACTACACTGTGCGCCCCTTTTCATCCCGTTCAATTATAGCACTTAACACTGCATTTTCATCTAGTGTAACGGATCTGCGACAGACATCGGCGATCATGGTTCTCCATTCATTCCTTTG